GTGTGTGTGTGTGTCTGTGTGTGTGTCTGTGTGTGTGTGTGTCTAAGAGTATAAAAAGTGTGTTGTTCTTTTGATTCTTGCGTGCTCACCTTAATGACTTTTAAACGAAATTATTATTATTATATGTAATTAAAGAGGAAGAGGGTTAAGTGTGAACACAAGCCAGAGTGACGCAGTGGTTCACCAGCACGCGCCCCAGTGCTATTTCTACAAAAACACAGGGAGGGTTCATCTGAAGCCGATACGTTACCAGGAGAGACGACAGCCTGATCACAGCAGCGACACACTTTTGTTTTAACCATTGAGTTTTTAGATTTTTCGAGTATAAAACAACGGTTTTTGTAAATGATATTTGGATTTATACACTTTACCTATATATATATATATATATATATATATATATATATATGTATATATACACATATATGGTATGTACACTCTAGCAACCACCCGGGAAACCACTTATCAACACGCTTGCTACCACCTAAAACACCATAGTAACCATTTGACAACATCCTGCAACCACCTGGGAACTGCATAAACTGTGCAACAACTCCTTCAGTAAAGGCACTTTTCTAGTTATTACTCCAGAAGGGGTGGCCAACATGACATTTTATAGTCATCAGGATTAATTATGTCACTATAAACTTGAATAAAATTGAAATTGAATAAAAATCAGTGTAGTTGTAGATTTATTATTTTTGTACGCCCTTAAAGAAGATGGTTCCTCAAGGGTTCTTTAGTAAAGGCAGTGGTTCTATATAGAAGCTTTCTACACAGCACCAAAAAGGGTTCTGCTATTGTTACAATGTTAAGCTTCTAAGAACAGAAGAACCATTCTTTGGTAGACACATATACAACACATTCTCCATCAGTCTGAAGAAACATTTTACCATGTAAATGGTTCTTTAAGTGTTCATGATTATGTATAGAACCGCTCCGTTTGCTACAAAACCCTTGAAGAACCAACTTTTTTAAGTGTTTCTTTATGTGGCACTACAAGTTCTATTTTCTCAGTTCCAACTTATTAAATCTCAGAAAAACTAAATATCGTGATGCATGTTGTGTATTGTAAAAATATATTGAAGTATTATGACATAATATTTTTGCTATATCGCCCACCCCAACATTCTAGTGCCGTAAAACTTAAGAGAAGAGTCAAAACGTTTCTGTCATAGTTTTGTTTTTACAGTAGAGATTTAAGTTTCTGCAAAACAAAAACATATTTTGCTGTTGACCGTTTATTGGACTTTCATGGTAAATGTGTACAGTCATATACAAAAGTTTATACAAAGTCATGTTTTTTGTTGATTTTCTATGTGAAAATTAATTAATACATCCTCTACAGAGAACACACTTACAAATGGCATTATTTAGTGCACAGTTTCTATGTATTTGCTTGTATTTGTGTATTTTATTTTAACACATTTAGGTAAAAACATAAGCACCATAACTTTTGCCCAGGCCATTTTTTTATGTTTTTTTTCCTGACATGTTAATTTCAGCAAATAAACAGTAATTGTGCATTAAAATGTGCAGAAGTGCGCTCTCTGTAGAGGATGTGCTCACTTCACTTACTTTACACTCAACAGAACGTCATCTGATCAGGGGCGCTAAAACTTTTGCACATGACTTTGTGTACGCCCACCTCCCACTCACACGGTCACTCTTCTTTTCTAGTGATATCACTGCAAATATTGATTGCGTTAGTCTTAACGTCCTCAGAAAGTTGGCTTGTTTTTGTTCAGTGCTGAAGTCGCTGAAGTTTGTTTATTTTAGTTGATTTATTTCTGACCCGACTCCAGAGAAAAAAAAAAGAAAAAAAGACACAAACACCTATCAACCCCTACCATGAACTCTCCCTGACCCCTAACCCAACACTGTAGGACACAGTAAACTGAGTACGGCCATGTGAAACCCAAAAAATGAGGATAAACGGAGACCAAAACTGCAAGTTCAGTGATTCTTTACAGTGATAATTTGCTTTAGTTTAAGTGCAAGCTATTCATTTTTTCAGGAGATATTCATGAGGAGATTAGATATCAGATAATCCACTAGCATAATGAAGGAGAATGTTAAAGGAAGATACATGAAAAATTAGGAGTTTCCAAAATGGGAAGGAAATTATTAAAAGCTACAGAGAAAATGGGGCTCCTAACAACCACCTGGAAGACCTGGTAGACACTAAAACTGCCCCCATCAGATAAACAGGAATGTAGGAAGTGGGGGTGCTGAGGGGGCTGCAGATTTCAATATTACCACTGTTAAAAATAATAATAAAACTTATCTAAACTTCATAATAATTTGAGCATAGTAAAGACTCGTGTGCTTGTTTTAGAATGAAGTTCATATTTTTATATTTTAAATCTGCAGTAATCTCATGTCAACGTCATATTTTCATGACTGTGAGCCGACAACTGTTGGCCGCTTTGAGGGCGCATCGCTAAAACACACGCATGTTAAGGTCCATTATATACATATATATTACAGAATTGATGTCGGAACAAAACCTCGTATCTCCAAACTTTACAGGAGAAGAAAAAACATATGGTACTTTTAATGTAAGTCAATGGAACCAGATTTTTGTCCAAGTCACTTTGGGCCGTTTCTTTTAATCTATTTATCATGAAATTTACACACAATGCAAAGGACAACATGCTTTTTCAAATTATGACAAAAACTGAAAAATGTCAAAAATGGAGATACAAGGTTTTGATCCGACAGCAGCGAGATATATATATATATATTCAATAGTTTTTAAACCTAAAATATCACCTAACGTAATAATGAAGGTTTTATCAACCATTATTTCTCCCATGTGTGTGTTTCAGTGGTAAATATCACCGTGTGACACAATTGGTTACCCTGCCCCATAGGTACAACGTGATTGGTCACCGCTCAGCTCATTTGCAAAAAGTTCGTCCACAACAAAACAGCAGAATGAGGATGTGTATCACCAGTTTTAAGTGTGACTTGGATATCTTTGTTGTCTCTCACCTTAACAGCTACAGCACTATTTGACACATTCCCTTTGATGTAAATTAGCAAAAAATCAAATGAAAAAAGGCATTTTTGCAGGATGTCATCGATCACCTCACATAGAACCTCACTGAGAAAAGGTGACGGACACGTCAAACAAAGAAGCTGAACGATGGACTGACCACCCCAGAGTCCAGACCTCAACATCACTGAATGTGTTTGATTACTTCAGAAAATGATCAACCAGCTTCTAAGACTGAACTTTGGAGGTGTGTCTGCAGATTCTTTGAGGAACTGAAAGTGAGTCTCCTGAAAAGAGTGGAAGCTGAAATAAAGGTGAAGAGTGACTGTCACGCTTCCCAGTTCTCAGTCTGACTCAAACCACTTTATGAACTCCAATTCCCAAGATTCCCCAGTTTGTCATGTGACTCCGCCAGGCAATCATCTGTCAACCAGCAGATCCAAGTCACCTGAATACTGACTGCTTTCGTCAGTGTGTATCAAGCCTTTCTCTTGTTTTGCAGCTAAACTGACCTTGTTTTGTTTCTTGTTGTCATTTTTCAGATTTACCCCTTCGGCTCTGTTTACCTGTTTATTGGCTCTTGGATTTCGCCCCTCGCTTGTTTATCGATTTTTGCCTTATGCCATGTATCCTGCTTTGTTGTTCTGGTTTTTGACCTGGTGTGGTGTAAACCCTGTTTACTTTGATTAATCCTTTATAAAATATTTGATATTTTATATTAAATACATTCTGATTATAGGTTAAGACTGAGGTGTTTATGCTCACTCTGTTCAACAATCTGATGAAAATCTCTGTTTACATGCTCACTACAAGTAATCAGATCCAGAATTATGTGCATACGTAGAGAACCACTTAGTGTAGACGTTACCATGACAACCAGCATCCCATGAGTCCAGTCAGAGTGAGGTGAGCAGCAGTGAGCAGTGCTTGTGTTTTTAATTACTTTAAATTACTTCAGACTCAGGAAAACGTCCTTCACATGTCCTTATTAAAGAAGGCCGAGAGGAAGACGTCGTGTTCTGAGACACATAAGCTGGACGTCCGTCCCACCGCCGTCTTTTAAAGATCAGAGCATGAACTTCGTCTCCTCTGCAGACCAGTTTCTGCTCCGCCATGTTGAACGGTATAAACTCTCCCTATGACGCAACGAACATGATCAGAACGGACTTAAACTTTCCGATAGGGAATGTAATCAGATACAGGCGTTTACATTACATTTACATTTTTATTCTTCTATATTTCTATAACAGATTATTTACAAGATTATTCACCTTGTTCAATCAGATAGAAACTGTATTCTGAATGGTTTCAATCCGACTATATTATTCTGATTGAGGTGTTTATATGGACGTATTCTATTCCGATTGAGCTATTATTTGGATAATTAACGTATTATTAGGCTTGTAAATGTGGTTAATGGCACACTAAACACTCAAACATCTGATATTAGCTCTAATTGTTGAGGCTTCTGTGTGATTTTATATAAAATAAGTTTTCTGCTTTTTTCCTGATGCTGTAACATGAATAACTTGTGGTCTCTGACTTTTGCACAGACTCGTATATTAAAATAAAATTTTATTTTCTCCCATTTGCACCTCACAACATGCACATGTCTGTATCGGTGCTCCGGTAATGACCCCGACTTCCCCACATAGACGGAGCACAGCGCTACCAGGCTTTAAAAGCTTGTCCATTATCATGCATGAGTAGCTGCTGAGCTACACGGGGACTCAGTCCCGCCGCAGCAGCACGGCGAGCTAAACCTACTCCACAGAAAGCATTATAGTGTTAAACCTCATTCCCGCTGTTGGAGAGAGAGCATTTACAGAGATACTCGCTCGACCGCACTACCACGATGTTCACGTTCCAGTGCTTTCCGTTTAAATCTGCCTGAGTTTTTAACTTATTCAGCAGCATTTATAATGCAGTCCTACATGGTTTGCTAATGCAGCTGTTATTACATGTTAATTACACAGTAATAACGTAAGCCGTGTCCTACCTGGCCCCGATGTACAGAGTGCGGTTGACCTGCAGGATTCTCTGGATGTGTAGCGGCTCCTGCCTCAGAGACGAGCGGTGCGGTCGGCCCAGAAACACCGGATACCTCCTGACCACTGTGGAGAGAGAGAGTAGCTGCGATTGATCGTTTGCAAAATAAAGATTGGGGCGTCTCTCAGACAATCACAACCATCTGTAAGCACTACTTCCTCCATCAAGTTAAGAAAAAAGTCCAACAAAATGGCAGATACTAGATGCACCCACTGGGCATGCAAGCCCACGAGTCGAGTTGAATAAGCTGTTATCTAGTGAAGTAGCAATTTCACCGTCTGAAAGCAATTTAGCACTCAACAAAGGAAAAAATCGTAATTTAACTGTATTTATTCTGTTTTATAGTGTGTGTAAATACAAACATATACTGTATATAAATAATTTTAATTGCATTTAATAAAATGCAATTTAATTTGCATTTTATTCAGACATGGCTCTGTGCCGTTGTATTTTTCTATTGCCAATTAAAATGCAACCCACATTTATTTTGTTTGAGATGTTTATTCTCTTAAAAACTGCCACTGAGACATTTAATCCACATTAGAGGCCAGACTGAGTACATAACATGACTATGCGGCGGAACAATGTCAGTGTCAATAAATACATATCGTCCCCTTGGAATTACAAGGTTCTGCATTTGGAGCAGTTTTGTGATGATATGTGGAACACTTCATACGTGAAAAGTGATATACGTTCTAAATGTTTTCTAAATGTACAACATCAAAATCCTATCAAATCAGTGAATTAGTTATTTAGAACAGGTCAAATGCAGTTAGAACCTTCTAATCCTGAGAACTCACTTTCTGCTTGGAGTTATAAGGTTCTATCTGGCAACACATGAAAAGAAGCAACGATTTTTTAAGGAACACAAACAGTTTATACTGCAATTTGTTTTAAAACCTAAAATTAGTGTAACAGGGTGTCCACATGTATCAGACGGTTAAATTTAATACTTGCTATGACATTTTATGACATTTATTTCTATTTTTTGTTTAATGTTATAACATTTATTTCTATTTTCAAGAAATCATCTTTTTTGCTTAATATCTTGTCCAGCGCAGAGGTCAGTTTTAGGCAAAAACCATTAGTTTAAATGTTCTTTAGTTAAACAGCAGCACCTTTCCACGCAGGTCAGTGTGGCAGGTCAGTCTAAAGGCTGTGTGAGTTTTTGTTTTATATCACAAATGTGACTCTAATGAGCCAAAATGTCTTATTTTGGGAGAAAGAAGAAAAAGAAAAGATGGATGGACGAATGAAAATAATGTTTATGTTGTAATTAAGACCCCATCAATTCAAATGTATGCTATTTAACTACCTTCAAGGCTTAATATAATGATAATTGTAAGACAACAAGACTTTTTAAAGAGCTTGTTTTAAAGAGTTTCACCGACATGTTTTCATGTCTCATAAAGTTTTATAAGCTTTTCACTGAGCAGTGCGGCAACATGACAAAGAAGCAGAACCTGATTGGTCCTCTTGCGTGCATTCAAAGTGCTGATTGGCTCGCAGATAAAACCTTATAGAACTAAGTTAGAGTTCGACAGTGGAGAACCTTTTTGTTATCTAGACAAAGAGTCCAAAAATGCACCCAGCTTAAAAACACACCTCACATGATGTTAAGATGTTGTCATCATCAGAATAAGAACATGTGAATGAACCAATTTTGACAAAAACGTCAGATAGAACCTTATAATTCCTAGGGGGCGCTATACCATCAGGGGAACCCACCACTGTTAAGGCTACTCTTTTGAATGATCAGATAATAAAAGACTCAAATTTAAACTGTAATTAAACCACTAAGGCACAGCAGTCAGTTTAACTTGTTTACAGTGAGTGTGTATACACGCACTCAATAATCCGATCATAATCAGATTTCTGCAGTTATCCGATTATTCAAGTGGTCATGTAAACACCATACTCCGATCTAGAAATCCGACAAAGAGTGCTGGATTTTAGCTCAGTAATCAGATTTCTCAGTGCATGTAAACTCTTACTCTGATTTCTTTCGGTTTTCTCAGTCTGCGCATGCGCGAGATCAGACGGTGGATGTCGCGAGGCGTAGCAAAACACTTTTGGAGCGACGCTGAAACCAAACACGAAATAAAGGATTTATATATTGTTCATCATCATCTTCTAGATGACGTTTATGTCATGTCTTTTTCTGTGAGTTTATTGGCTGGTTGCAAAGTAGAAATCTGATTACTGTCTGACTCATGTAGACACAGAGTTTCCCCATTATCTGATTACATTAAGTGCATGTGAACGCACTCAGTGTTTCCACTGAACAACTTATTGGTCTTATCTGTTTCAGTACATTTTATGGCTGTAAAATTGTAAACATGCAAGATGCACCGCTGTTAGCAGTAGCTCTCCCACGCTGGCTGGCATTAACACGAAAACGTTCTTTTCTTCAGTGCAAGTTAATGCAAAGAGAATTTTTTTCCGAGTAATTTTGGAGGATTTCTGTCGGTCCACTCTTCATGACATTTCCACACAGTGTAAAGAACAGCTGCCAAAGCTCAAATGAAGTAGAAAAGTAAAAATAAAATTAAAAAATTGAGATACATGTTTTTCTTTAGAAAGCAATGGTTTATAACGTAACAAAAGGTGGATAAGTTGAACTGCTGGATCCATCACTGCTCAGTGACATCATCAATGTACACATGAAGTGCTGGATAAGAGTAAATGCATATATATATATATATATATATATATATATATATATATATATATATATATATATTTTCCCTTCTATATTAAGCCAAGACTCCTCCAGTTCACCTCTGACGGTCTCATGTTTCCTCAGCCCTGATCCAGCCAGGAAGCTCGGGATCAATACTATTGATTAGCAATCAATCACCTGAAGCTAATGTGAAAAAGGAAGAGTGCAGAAAAAACCACACTCTGACCGTCCACACGGCCTTTACTCAACACACTACAGGGAAACAAGGGACCTCACTCAACTCTCTGACTGTACAGATACTGAATAAGTCTGAATAGATACTGAATAATATTATATAGTAGTAATTATAACTATAATAACGTATAGTTTATCATTTAGAGTAGTCACTGAATAATTTATGGTAGTTACTGAAGAGCAGATATTGGATAATTTATAGTCATTACTGAATAATTTATAGGAGATACTGAATGATTTCTAGTAGATACTGAATAATTTTGGTAGATACTGAAAAATTCATAGCAGTTACTGAATAATTCATAATAGATACTGAATAATCTATAGGAGATACTGAATAATTTTTAGTAGATGCTGAATAATTTATAGTAGATACCGAATAATTCATAATAGATAGCAAATAATTTACAGGAGAGACTGAATATTTTAGAGTAGATACTGAATAATAGTAGTAATAAAAATGTATAGTTTACAAAAAAACTATAATATAGCAAGAATAATTTATAGTTTATATTTTATAGCCAATACTGAATAATTCATAATTGTAGAAAAGTAGATGAATAATTCATAGATGTTAATAAATAGTTCACAGCAGTTACAAATAATTCACAGCAGTTGCTGAATAATTTACAGCGTTTAATAGATTTCAGTCAGCTGAGATGTGTTTGGTGTCTGACGTTTACTTCTTTAGTCAAAGCACTGGAGTTATGAGGCTAACGTAGCTAATAAGCAGTGCAAGTTTACACTCCTCCAGTTAGCACGGCATAAACTGCACGTCTAAATCAGACGACTGTTTCAGATCCCGCAGTTTAAGCAGTTAAATTAACTCAACTGACTCGAGGCACCCATTCAAATTATCCCTTCAGATTAAAGTCGATTAGATAAATGTTCTACAGATCAGCGTGACTGTTACCTTCAGTGGGGATGGAGCTCAGGGGTCCAGGCTCCTCCGGAAACACAGAACACACCACCTGGACCAGCCAGAGGAGCGTGAGGAACGGTCCAACCAGGGTCGTCATGGCAGCAGAACCCAAACGCTGTAGGAGCAAGAAGGAGAAGCGAGTGAGGACCAGTGGAGGACGAGTGAAGATGTGACACGTTCTTCAGCTACAGTCGAAAAGATGTTATCTCCCCCCCCTAACCCATCCCCTCCCTTCTCTCCCTCTCTGAGATTATCATCAGTGATTAAGTCATCCAGCAGCACTGACTCAAGACTTGACTCAGAGTCAAAGGTGAAGAACTCACTGAACAAGGACTGCCAAGGGGAATTCCACCCAATTAAAAAAAAAAAAATCTGCATAATTAAACGATAAGATATATGAGTCCTTCAGAGTGGTTTGGTGTGAAACGCTCCATTCTAGATAAATTTAGAGTCAGAATTGTTCACAGTGGTGGTGATAGGAACCAGACGTCCACCTCTAAAAGCTCCCTCACAGAAAGTTACTACATGAAATGGTTATGAATTCACTGCCTGATGACTGAGACACTGTTTTATGATAGTTTTGAGAAGATTTTTGTGCAAAAATCCATTCATGGTGGAGGGATACATAATATGCAGGGTGCTGTGAGGCAAAATAGTCACTATTTTCCCATCATCAACATTCCATATAAGCTCACAAGACTCGTGTTGGTTCACTGGTGGTTCTGGGTAGTAAATAAAATGTCTATATCTGTGTTGTAGTCATGGCGACCCCTGGTTCCTATCAGCACCACTGTAAAGACATCTGAACCATTTCACACCAAACCACTCTGAATCACTCTGTTTACATTTCAAACACTGAATTATGCAGAAATCGATGGAATTCAGCTTTAATTTGGAAAATGAATAAAACATTTCATTTCAAACATCGTCACTGTCTAAACAAAGCCTTGAATCCCCAAACTGGTAACTTTACAGAAGAAGGAAAAAAAACGTGTTGAGTTAAAGTAATATGATTTATTTTCACATAATTTGGACCATTTCTGTTGGTCTGTTCATCGTGAAATTTTAATACAATGCAAACAATAACAGGACATTTCAAATTATGCAAGAAAAGGTGAAAAACAACTAGCTGGCCAGCTTAGCTTTAATACTGTATATGCTTGCTAGCACAATAGCTATTACAGCTGAAGCTGTGAGCTTATCTACACTCTTTAAAATGATGGTCCTTCAAGGGTTCTTTAGTAAAGAAAATGGTCCTGTAGAGCCATGAACTCTCAAAGAACCCTTTGCATGATTAACGGTTCTCTGCATAATGAAATGGTGCTTTAGACTGATGGAGAATGTGCTGTGGATGGTCCTATGTAGAAAAGAGTTCTGTATAGCACCAAAAAAGATGCTTCTATTATAACAAGCTTGACATTGTAACAACAGTAGAACCTTTTTTGGGTGCTATATAGAATCCCTTTTCAAAAGGTGCTATATAGAAACATCTACAGCACATTCTCCATCAACCTAAAGCACCATTTCATGATGCAGAGAACCTTTAATCGTGCAAAGGTTTTTTTGAGTGTTCTTAGTTCTATATAGGACCATTTTCTTTATTAAAGGACCCTTGAAGATTCATCGTTTTTAAGAGTGTAGGTGAAGTTTTAGTAAATTACAGATCATATTGCCACTTCTTTTAACTCTGTACACTCTCAGAAATAAAGGTCCTAAACTGTCACTGGGGCAGTTCCCCTCTTGTCACTGGGGTGGAACCCTCACAGGTTCATCTCAGTATCTTCAGTCAGGGAACATAACTGAACCATAATCCACTGAAATGATATGTTCTAAGCTGTACTGACTCCACACACCCCGTCTCATCTCCAGGCTTTTATTTTACTGCTCTGTTTTAAAACATTCGGTTATGAAAAGGTACAAATACGAACTTTTCACCTGGAAAAACTTATTTAAGGTCCACAATCAGACCTTAAAACCACTGTCGGAGCTTTGAGGGAACATTTACACTGTTTGTACCTTGACGAACGAAACATGGACCTGCACAGAACCTTTATTTCTAACAAGGTATTTACTGCATTTAAGGCAGATTATAATATGATTAATATGAAATGAAGTTGTAAAAATTACCACGTTTGTCATATGATTTGATTAACTTGAAAAAATATCGTTAATCTAGATTTGTGCTGAGACCAAACAGTTTCAGATTTGGACGTTAAAGGGTTAAAGCTAGTGATAGACAGTATGGTAAAAATATAATAAAAGCCAGTAGTGCCAAAAATAAATGACCTTTTATTTAACGTTTCAGACACTTTAAGTTAAACTGGCCTAAACTTTCACTTCTTAAGTGACGAATCCTTTTTTTTCAGCCATTATTCAGCTCATGTTTCCCAGACTCAGAACATCTGCCCTGAAATTTGTGTGGAGAACTCATTTGGCGCAAACACAAACACAAACACTCTGGGTGTAAAAGGAGCCGTGCTGTAGTGGGAGATTTGAATCTGGCAGCGTGTGGCGAGCTTCATTTCTTTATTACAAAATCAAGAACATCTCTGATTTCCCTACGCTCGACAGGCGATCGCGTTACACGATGCAAAAGAGCCCAAACTCATTTGTCAGAAGTGTGGGCCGTCCGTCTGCGGTGAACACACACGCGCACTGAGGGGTCATTCTGTAGCCGAGCGACTCATTCGGTGTTATCAGCACGTACGATCTTTCCAGGACATTTCTAAAATTCCTCTCATTTATCTCTGAACAAGGAAGCCTCACATACACTAACAGCTCGACACCCAAAGCGGCACATTACAGCATCATAATAGGCTTACATGAAAGACGAGAAAGAGAGAAAGAGAATAAAAAGAGGTCGTAAAGGAGAGGAGGGGGAACCAGAGAAGGAACGTGGCAAAAAACTTGAGACCATGTCATGACTTGGAAAGCTGCTTCCACAGATTCCATTGTGTTTCTCTTATTAATAATTTAGGATTAAATGTCAGCCCTCACGCATTCAATTAGCATAATTAGAAATCGAGGGCTATAGGGTTCCCCACGCTCGGCGAATATTGAATGAGGAGGCCGAAACAAATACACTCTGAGACGCACTCTGCGACGTCCCCCAGGCACAATGCTGCTTTAATTATGACAAATGTCTTTGTAGAGTCAATTCGATCGACAGGGCTGGTCTATTTACGCACTGCAAAACAAAACACTCGCACCCCGGCCACTTTATTAGAAACCCTCCTTTGCTGGTGTGCAGTTAGAGACCATCTGTTGATAAATAATGAAAGGAAAACAGTTCTTTGTACCAGATTTTATATAAACCTGTGCAGCAACAGATGAGCTACAGTTGGTAACTGGACACTGATTTAGTGGACCAATAAGCTATGTGTTTCTAATAAAGTGGCCAGTGAGTGGTGGCACAAGGTATGTGTTTCTAATAAAGTGGCCAGTGAGTGGAAACACAAGGTAGGTGTTTCTAATAAAGTGGCAAGGGAGTGGAAGCCCGCGGTAGTTGTTTCTAATAAAGTGGCCAGAGAGTGGAAACACAAGGTAGGTGTTTCTAATAAAGTGGCAAGTGAGTGGAAGCCCACAGTAGGTGTTTCCAATAAAGTGGCCAGTGAGTGTAAACACAAGGTAGGTGTTTCTAATAAAGTGGCCAGTGAGTGGAAACACAAGGTAGGTGTTTCCAATAAAGTGGCCAGTGAGTGGAAACACAAGGTAGGTGTTTCCAATAAAGTGGCCAGTGAGTGGAAACACAAGGTAAGTGTTTCTAATAAAGTGGCCAGTGAGTGGTGGCACAAGGTATGTGTTTCTAATAAAGTGGCAAGTGAGTGGAAGTACAAGGTTGGTGTTTCTAATAAAGTGGACAGTTAGTGGAAGTACACGGTAGGTGTCTCTAATAAAGTGGCCAGTCTGTTGAAGCAGAAGTGGATGTTTCCAATAAAGTGGCCAGTGATTGGAAGCACAAGGTAGGTGTTTCTAATAAAATGGCCAGTCTGTTGAAGCACAAGACAGGTGTTTCTAATAAAATGGCCAGTGAATCTAGGCAGAAAAGTACTTGGCTAAACAAAAGCTTAACTGGTGTTTAACCACATTTAGCTCAGTATATTGATTAAGCCACCTGAGTGTTAGAGCGAAAAACCGACTAGAAGAAACTCCGCAGCAGGTCTTCACAGCACTGTACACAGACACAGCAGTTGAAATTCAGCAGACACCAACAGACACAGTGTAGCAACACACAGCTGCCATAAAATTCCCTCCAATCTAGTTTAATCCAATTTAATCCAATCCATTTCAATCCAATTTCAAACTGACTTAAGCTTTACTGCTGTGATACCTCCACTCAAGCGCTTCCTGCTAAGCCAAAGTGGTACAACAAGTTGTAAATGTAGTAACAGTATAAGAAATAGATTGAAAAAAGGGTTGTCGTCTGTGACAAAGAGAAAAAGAAAGACGGGAGGAGAAAGAAAGACATACAGATATATAGACACTACATATTAAAGTATTAGAGTATTAATAGTGAGCTTGTGCTGCAGTAACAGCCTCTACTCTTCCAGGAAGGCTTTACACTAGATGTTGAACATTGCTGTGCTTAGTGAGGTCAGGTGATGTTGGATGGTCAGTTCTGGATCTCCAACTCATCCCAAAGGTGTTGGATGGAGCTCCATCACTCCAGACAATGCACTTCCACTGCTCCACAGCCCATTGCTGGATTGTTTCATACTCTTCTAGTGCATACTGGACATGGTGACAACAGGCTCATGTTTAGGCTGGGAGTGAGTTTTGGGGGAAAGTCTGAGGGTAGAACCTTGTTAGCAGCAGATCTCTACCAAGGACTTCTCCAGAAGTCTTGTCCATCCACTTCCACACTCTCCTTTTCAGTGGCGCTGTCTGGTCAGTCTAATTATAGGTGTTAATTCTCCAAATGAAGACATTAAGTGATCAATGAGGGATCGACAGGGTGGCCACAGTCTGCTAAAGACCATTCAGAGACTCCTACGGATGAGTCCAGATAACAAATCACTAATCCAATTACTGAGAGGCAGGAGCCTTTAGAAAGGCTTAATGAAGACTGATCTATCGCCAATAGTCTACAGACTGAGTCAATGCACGCTGAGAAAC